GTGTGTGTGTGTGTGTGTGTGTGTGTGTGTGGTCACATCCTCGTCCAGACACACGTGTAAACATCAAACACACTTGTTGATCAGCTAGCTGGTCAGTGCTTCATGTTATTATAAAGCTCGTTATCACCATGGTAACATAACGGGTGAACGACAAACACACATGATCGGTCTCATCCGTTATAACAACTTTTGAACTAAGAATGTAAATAAAGACGACTCGTCTCCATCATCAATAACTGATCAAACCAAACTGATGAAACACTTGAACGAACATCAGAGATGAGAACGAGCTGAAACGACAGAAACATCTTTACAAACATTTATTTAACGTCTGCTTTGAGCTTTTAGTTTGGTCCAAATCCCGTCTGCTAACGTGGAGGATAACCTATACTGCTGCCAGACACCAGGGGGCGATTGGTCCACTTTGGCTTCAGTTTAGGGATCCGTCACGTCGTCCATCTTTATTTACAGTCTTTGATCTGGACAAACATTCGTCAAGATTCGCTGACGACAGCAAAAATACAAAATGAAAGTCAGACTGGTCCATTACGGTGAAGAGGTGAGTGTGTGTGTGGAGTCTGCAACCTCCAGTTACCCATAAGCCCCTTCTCTGAGAGACAGGGTTCAACTTCAAGGTAATGTGACTAATCAGACTCATCTCGTGTCTGTGATGAATCCAGGAGTCCCTCCCTCCTTCAGCAGCTTCCTGAGAACTTCAAAATAAAAGTCAAGAGTCCTCGCTCCTCTGGCTCAGGCGTAGAAGATGAGCTCGGGGATCTGACCCCCCTGCACTCCGGTGCCATTGGTGCTGTCTGATGAACACTGGAACTGGAAGGTCACTTTCCCACACTGCACCTCTGTCATGCCCTCCTGACCGAAGTAGCTTAGCTCGTTGCCATCCAGCACAACGCTCGCGGTATAGAAGGTGTCCGGCTCGATCTGCACCGGGTACTCAAACCAGACAGTGAAGGTGCTGCTGGAGCCGTCAGAGAAGTACTTGATGATCCTCTGGGCCATCGGCACACCCTGACGCTTCAGCTCGATCTTGGCGCTGTACTCTGCTGAACCGCAGCTGGAGCCGTACAAACCAAAACCAGCGATAAAAACGCGTTTGTCTACGGCGAACTGGATGCTGTCGCAGCGACCTCTGTACCGCCACTGGTTGCTCCGGTAGGCGCAGGACTGGAAGCGGTGACAGCGCTGTGGCGACAGGCCTTTACGAGGTTTGGTGCAGAACAAGAGTTCAGGCTTCTTGGCGGCGGTGTACCACAGGAAGATGTCGTTGGTCTCGTTGAGTGTGAGCACATCAGACTGAGCGGCTCCGTTGGCGAAGTCCTCCAGTGTCATGGTGGGGATGCGGATCAAGTAGATGGCCTTTCCCAACACCAGACGCTTGTTCTCGATGGTCGGTGCGAGGTCTTGTCGTTGGCACTCGGCCTCAGCCCAGTTCAGCGCCGCGTCGAACACCACCATCTCTTTGGCATTGAGCGTTTCTCTCCGCAGGATGCTCTCCAGTGTCTGAGTGTCGATGTCGCAGAAGCCTTCGGAGCGCAGAGCAAGCTCGGCCTGTGCGTCGATCACCTCCCAGCAGCGCTGCGTCAGGTCGGGCTCCTCGAACAGGCAGCTCTGAGACAGCAGCACACAGGCGTTCTTAGCACTCAGGCTCGTCTCCAGGAAGTTGACGCAGGCCCGGGCCAGATGAGGCACGATGTACTTTTTGGCAGCATAGAGAGTGGCGAGCACCGTGTCGGCACATAGGTCGATCTCGTCACAGTAGATGTACCTGAGGAGGTCAAACATAGACAAACTGCCGTCACTTCTTGTCAGGAGACGATTCTGTACATTTACATCAAAAAATAATGAACGTGAATAAATCAGCTCAACATACTTCAACATGGCGAGAAAGGAAGGAGGCTCCACGTCAGGGATCCGGATCTCGTCCTGATCCTCGGCCAGTTCACCGTAGAACATGGCGTGGAACACGGAGCTGCCTACCGCCAGGACGTACTGTCAGAGCAGAGGGACGAGATTTATATCGTATGAAAACATGAGGGCGCTGGTCACGTGACCCAGGTTTTTATGAATACTTTACATATGAAGAAAAAGAAAACTTTGTGCTCCTGAATAAAACGACGGTGTCTGCGGGTCGCTGCAGGTCCTGAGAGAAAAACTAGTTTTAAATCAAGAAACTTTTTATTATTCTCTGAAATGATAAAGTCACTTTCTCATGAATAATGACAACTCTTCAAAGTCTGGAAATGAATGATAAGAACCCGATTACATTTCTTTACTGATAAATCTGAGTGAAAATAATAAAAGAGAGAGAGCAGCAGAGATGTGATGAATCAACATTTCTCATAAATGTGTGACTCTAATGCTTGTTATATGTTTTACAGGTATATCATTTATTTTTACTGACGATGACCTGCTCCTGATTTTTGTACCTTGTGTCCTGGGACTCGCTGCGTCCCACCAGGTGGCCCGACCACGAAGTGAACGTCCGCCATCATCTCATTGTTGAACATGACTGAATTTCTACAGAGACACAGGATGTGAGTGTTTCATGTAGAAGAAGAAACAGACGTGGTGAGAAACTGTGGTGACGTAGCTGCACCTCCATCATGGATGGAATCTGACTCTGTCCTGAAACTGATCATTTAACTTTAAACAACATCATCGGACCTGTGTCGCCCAGCTGCTCTTCATCATGTGGAGGAGATGTCTGAGGAGATGTTGGTGGTGGATGTAGAGGAGGTGATGGAGGAGGTGATTATTGATTATGGAAGTGAAGGTGGAGGTGTTTGATGTGGAGGAGGTGATGGAGGAGAGGAGGTG